CATTTCCCTTGGAAAGCAAGCCTTCCCTGACCACCCAGAATAAGGCAGGCTCCCCACTTATGTGCCATCACAGCATTCTGTAGTTCTTAGTACTTGGCACATTTGTGCTTATTTAATGGTGACAGTTTAAATATATCTTCTCTGGTCACCCCACAGAGCAAGGACTATACCTATCTTGTTCAAAACCATTATTCTCAGCTAAAGCACAAGGCCTAGCACAAAGGAAGCATGCAGCAAACACTTGTTAATATAGTCCAAAGGCTCCAGCCCCAATTCCAGGGTAGAACCCTTCTTTAGTTCTATGCCACCAGAGGTAGGGTATGTACTATGGCTGGGATCATTGACCATTGCTAGGAGCCCTTCTCTGCTTTGCCCTGACCCTGATCATCACTGTTTCCCAAAATGAACACTTTATATGGCTTCTCTCATTCAGATAGGAAAATGATCCCACAGTTGGGCAGAGTGATAGCTGGGGATTTCATTGCTGTTGGCAATAAGTGCTGTCTCCACTTCTCCCTAGGCTCAGAAAGTATACCTTTAGCTAGGAATGAAGACTTGTCTAAAGAAATAGGAATTTAGGAGATCAGTGTCACAGAAATGCTGGCCCCAAATGTTGGGTCATACACCAGTTGCCTAATTTCACAGGTAAGAAAATAAGGCCTCCTAAATAACCACAAAGCTCCTATTCCTAGGAGTACTAGGACAGGCACACACCAAGTTTCAAAAGCTCTAAGGAAGGCCTGCAGAAGCAGATACTACTCGTCTGTCAACATCTGTTCTTCCCTTCTTACACAGTAATAGAATCTCTAGCAAGCGAGACAGTTCAGAAAAAAGTAACAAGTTTCCTGGCCTCCTTTAAAGCAAAGTGTGGCTGTGTGACCAACTTCTGGCAAACAGACTATGGGAAAAACTGATGCCATGTCCTTAGAAGGAACATGCCCTTCTTGGCCCAGTACCCCCATCAACTATGTGGAATGGTCACAAGGGGGTGAGCATCTTGGACCATGTAGATGAAGATGTGGCCCCTGGGGATGACAGAGCAGCTAGGAGTGGTCATGGAGCTACTATTATCAGCCCTAGACTGCTTACCTTCAGATGATATATGAGAGATAAGCTTTCATCATGCTTACACCATATTGATTTCGGTTCCTCAAATCAATACCCAAAACCATATCCTAATATCCCTAGGAATGAGCGATGATGGAAATATCACACAACATACTTTAAAAATTCAGGCTGGTTCTCATATTTCAGTGTTTTGGAAGTTCATCTCTATCCTGGGTCTGCACTGCACGCACGTTTCCTCCCACTCAGCTCTAAGGCTTCTTGTCCTGTACCTTCTGTACCCACAATTCCAGGGCTTTCTTTACCCCCTTCCTCCGTGTCTGTCGTCTTGCAGCTGCCAACTCGAATGCTCCCGCGCATTGATCCTTTGAAGACATAAGGAAGTGTCTTGGAATGCTGAGACCTGAGGGAATGATCTCAGTAAAACTTCCTGGGCCGGCCGAGTGGCGTGATGGTTAAGAACTCGCTTGGGATGCCAGAGGGCCCCGATTCGGATCCCACATGAGGGCCAGTGACACTGCCCTCTACAGCTAAGATGCTGAACAACAGCTCAACCTGGAGCTGGGTTGCCATGAGTCGCCGGCGACGGCGTAGGCTGCAGCCCCTGTGGCAGTGGGTTGCCATGGGCTACCGTGTGTAGCCAGCAGCCAGCGTGAGTGGCCAGCAGCCGCAGTGAGCGGCCGTCCAGAAGCCGGCGACAGATCTGCCTCGCCCGGGAAGAGCACAATGATGGTGCCAACTTGGGCCAGTGAAGCAACATCCTCCACAATTAGATTGAAGAACAGAAGGACAGCAACTTGTCTGTTCCCCTTCCCCCAATTCCCCAGCACTGTTCCCATCCCCCCAATTCCCCAATAAAAATCTTTAAAAAACAAACAAACAAAAAACCTTCCTTATCAGGTGGTCTCGGAATGCTGATGCCATCCCAGGGATCATACGCATGTATGAAAGCACAACTTGTGCTTGATCACAATGAGTTTTCGGTGAAGCAGCTGCCGGTCTAACCGAATCAATTAACTGGGTATAGATATTCAAATTGACTTCTTTGTGACAGTTGTAAATAAAAGTTATTCGCCTGCCAGTATCAGGGCTCGCTCTCTCAGCCTGCAGAGACTAGACCCCTGGCCCGCAGAAATTCTACTTATGACTCGTGATTTCTTAACCCTTCGCCGCCCCTCCTTGAGCCCCCCAACTCTTGTCACACGGACGTGATATGTGTCCTCCAGGGGAAACTGACAAATGTCCTCATAGTAAAAAATCTTTTCTGGTGTTTCCAGTTTTAAGATGTCAGAGTAAAAATTGTTCTGCTTCTCCTCTTGAAAATTGTAAGAAAACAATAAGTCTGGTTCGGGTTCATCCCAGAATTTAATGTTTCAATATTATAAAATCTTCCTTATTAATATTGTGAATTAAATGAACAGATCACTCAACCTACTATGTGGAGATATATATTAGGGCAGAGAGATCTTATTCACAAAAGCAACAAAGGAACCAAAAATATTTAGGAATAAGAATAATAAATGTTTAAGACCTTTAGATGAAAAAAAATCAACAAAAACTTGTATAAATGGAAAGGCACAAGTAATTGTTCAATAAGAAGGGTATTCATCTTGATTTAATCTGGAAGTCCAATTTCAAACAATTTTTAAAAAGGAGAATAAAGTGGGAGGAATTGGTATACCCAAATAAAACACGAATAGGATTTGTTTTGGAACTTGTGAAAATGATTCTAAAGTTTATCTGGGAAAAAAATGTTATATATTTATAAGTTACTACTAAAACAATGCAAAATGATTGAAAGTTCAAAATGGAAATATATATAAGTATTAAGCTAAAGGAAAAATGACATACCTATATTATCTTATAGCAATGATTTTTAAGCCAAAAAATATTAGGCAGGAACCCATTTCAGGCAATGTATTGGGTTGTAGGAAAAGTCATGACGTATTTTTTCTGTTTTTCATTGCAAAAATGCATCATGCTTTTCTGACAACCCAATAGTGATTGATATAAACTAGTATCTAGAAATTTTGGATATAATTTACATCATTTTATATACTTAGCTCACAGGAACGTATACCCAGTTAACAAAATGAACAAAAAACTAAACCCAGAGGCTAGCTGAGGTGATGCTTTGTCCAACATGAGTGGGGATGATAGAAATTTGAAGATTTTGATATGTGAGGAGGTTGAATTATAATATTAAACAAGCCTGCATGAAGTAAGTAGAAACTGGGGCTTCTCACATCCACATCCACCGAAATGCCTGGACCCATGAAAGGATAAATTAGAAAATCTTCCCACTATCAAAGAGAGAACAAAATATGGCCTTTGCATAGGTTTTGGAGTGGTAATGGGACGTCCCCCTAATTTACAACCATAATCTATATCACTGAATAGTTTAAAATTAATATTACCCACTTAGACCAGTAACTCATAATCTAGAAAATTAAAGTGATCCTGGTAAACTTCTGAAAGTCACTACAGAATTTGGAGACTCTTCTATCGCAATCTATGCTTTCCTTCACTGTTGCCTGTTCCCCATCTACCTCCCTTTCTGCGGTCAAGCACAGCGCCCTGATTCTGACTAGACCCCAATATTCTCTACTACCCCTAAGGAGTTAATCCGTCTCCTCAAACAATCCCATTCTTGTTACTGAGACAGTTGTCACAAACCTTACCACCAATCTCTACAGGGCAATACTGTGATGGCTAGAACATAGGTTCTGAAACAAGACTGCCTTTGTCTGAATCCCTACTTTGCTACTTTCTGTCCTTGGGTGACCTAATTAATCCATTTCCTCAACTGTAACAATGAGCTCATTACAGTACCTACTTCATAAAGTTTTATTAAATGTGTGCAGTGATTCATTAGGAAAGTGCCTGGCATATGGCAAGCACTAAAAAATATCGCTGCTGTGAAGATCATTTACTAAACAGCAATTATAGCTGATGCAGCAACATGTGAAACTAAGTCCCTGACCCGGTTTACTCTAGGTTTTTTTTAATTGGAGAATTGGGGAAGGGGAACAGCCAAGTTGTCCTTCAGTCTTAGCTATGGAGGGCGTAGCTAGCTCAGCTCCAAGTCCAGTCGCCATCTGGCCACGCATCAGCAGCTCGCGGCCGCTCAGCTCAAAGTACTGAGTTGCGGGGCAGGGGGAGTGGGGAGGGGTGGGCGACATAGCCCACCATCCCAAACGGGAGTCGAACCAGCAACCTTGTTGTTAGGAGCATGTGCTCTCAACAGCTGGGCCATCCTGCTGCCTGTTGGCAGCTCAGCTCAGGTGCAACTCATTGGCCTACGTGGGAATCGAACCAGTGCCCCTGTTGCTCAGAGCTCAAGCTCTTAACCAACTGAGCCACTCGGCCGGCCCTAGTTTGTTTGATTTTTGAGTGACTTAGATTTTCTGGCCTCAAAACGATCCCCCTAGAAATGCCTAAGAACAGTAGGCAGTAAATTAAGGTATATTCATGTAATGGAATACCCATAGAATGATGAGAATGAGCCCGTACCGATGATTCCCTTTATGTAAAAATTTGTGGTGAAAGAAGTCGGAATAGAGATCTCCATGAAAGAGCAGTAATGACTGGAATAGGGTACAGGGAGACCTCCAGGGTGCTGTTATGTTCTATTTCCTGATCTTCGTGATTATAAGACTATGTTCTTTGTAAAAGTTCAAGCTGTACAACTATGACTTGTGCATTTTTGTGTCTATTATACTTCAAGTTTTTAAAAGTTTACTTAAAAAGTGATTCCCAACCCTATTATTCATTGGTCAGTCTGAGCACATAATACAACTGCTGGTTCATCCAACTGCTGGCAAGTAAGGAAGAGGTGGTGAAGCCACCCAGGTGCTGGACCTCAGGAAGCAGATGTTACAGAGTCCAAGTTTCAGCAGCTTATCGCTCATGAGCCAATAATCGAGAGAAAAGGGTGGTGGAAAGAAAAGCAGGTTTATTCAAAATGCCAGCATTCAGGGAAAGCAGTGGACTTCTGTCTGAAAACCTACCTTCCCTCTCCTAAAGACGGCCAGAAGGTTTTATAGGCACGAGAAGCAGAACAAAGGAAAAGGGGCATTGGTGAGGCAATTTCCTGGGTGATGGGTTCTGAAGAGGCAAAAAAAGCGATTTCCAGAGTCTGGTTTGTTTCAGAGATAAGGTTATCTCAGTCCCTCCTGAACAGATTTCTTGTTAATGAAGCAGGTGTTCCAGGGCTACAACTTCTTTCAAGGCACTGTCCTGGGCGATAAACAGATTTATGAGGTATGCATGCAGTCTTGAGAAAAGTCATTAAGGCCAGTTGTTCTGCAAATCGGCATGGTGTGCATTCAGCCTTTAGTAAACAGTCGATAAACCTGATAGGAAGGGGAGGGAGAGTAAAGGAGAGGAGAAAAAAATAAGTTTTTTAAAGTTCTAAGCTAAATTACGTTGTTAAATCGAATTGAACTCAAGTGTTAACCCCTGGAAGTAGAAACTACAGTGTCACCCTTACACAGGTAAAAGTCTGGAATTAGGTAGGGTAACTGCCATACTTGGCAAAAAGGGGCAGATGGGAGAAGAGGGTGCAGATTACATTCATTATACAAAGAAAAGGGCCAGCTCTTTGTTTTCCTACTGAGACATCTCAACACTCTCGTATGACTGAGAACTAGAACGTTTCCTTGGCCCACTAATCAGATCAAAAGGCAGGGTGGGCACTGTTCTAGACAAACTGGTAAACACCAAGCTGGAAAAGCTACAATAGCCTGGCATTTACCAGTTTAATGCCTAGAATAACATCCATTCCCAATAAAAACTGAGCTTTACTGATGGCTTTTGGTTTCACAGTTAAGACTTTTGTTGAGAATGGATTCACTCATACAGTTTTGTAAGAATGTTAAAACGTTTGTCACAGAGCTTCAGTTGTTAGAACTTCTATCCACTGGTGTAGTCCTGAAGTAGCCTAAACTCTCAAGTGCTCCAATGGGTTTCCCATTCTTGGTACAATCAGGGGCTGCTGGGACTATAGCTGAAAACTTTCCCACACTTCAAACACACAAAACATTTCTCCTTCATAAGGTTATCCCTGAAGACTATTAAAATAATTGTCACCCTGATAAGGCTCTGTTCCAAGAAAAGAAAACCTAACTCAAACTTGCTTGAGCAAAAAAGACAAAACAAAAAGTGGAATTTATTGGTTACTGGAATTCAAAAACCCAGATGTATTGGGTTGTTGGAAAAGTCATGACGTATTTTTTCTATGTTTTTCGTTGCAAAAATGCATCGTGACTTTTCTGACAACCCAATATTTCTAGCTTCAGCTATGGTTTAATGTAGTTGTTCAAACAGAATCATCAAGGTTGATTGCTCTCCAACTTTGATTTCTCTCCTGCTGTGTTGACTTTATTCTCAGACTCCACAAAAATCCAGGAACAAAAGTTCCTCTCAGCTTTAAAACTAAGGAACAAAAAAAAGGGTATTTCTTCCTGTTAAATGTGGCTACATCCTGGTACTCTAACTGGACCATCTTGGGTCACCTACTGACATCTGAACCAACAGCTATGGCTTGGGGTAAGGAATCTGGAGTGGAGTCAGGCCAGTGTCACATAGTCCACTCCTGAGAAGATGGAATTTAAAAGGAAATATAGTGTAATGACAATTAAGTTCACAAACTTATCCTAGGAAAAGTGCTACATACCTCACTGCTGAATATTAATATCGTCACCTTCAAAGTACTCCCCTTGGGAAGCTATGCATCAGCACCAGTGCCTAGTCCACCCTTCGGGGCAATTTTGGAACTCTTTTTCTGGAATGGCCATCAGAGCTGTCATCATATTACCCTTGATGTCCTGAATGTCATCAAAATGTCTTCCTTTCAATACTTTATCTTTGGGTAAAGGAAGAAGTCATTGGGAGCCAGATCAGAAGAGGAGGGAGGGCGTTCCAATACAGTAATTTTTTACTGGCTAAAAACTCCCTCAGACAGTGCCATGTGAGCTGGTGCATTGTGATGCAAGAGCCATGAATTGTTGGTGAAAAGTTCAGGTCATTTTGTCTAACTTTTTCATGCAGCCTTTTTCAGCACTTCCAAATAATAAACTTGGTTAACTGTTTGTCCAGTTGGTACAAATTCATAATGAATAATCCCTCTGATACAGAAAAAAGATCAGCAACATCATTTTGACTCTTAATTTGGACTGATGGAACTTTTTTGGTTGTGGAGAATTGGTTGATTTCCACTGTGCACTTCGACGCTTTGTTTCAGGATCGTATTGGTACACCTATGTTTCATCACTAGAGATAACACGCCCTGAAAAATTGTCTTACCTCGCCAAATGGTCTTGGCAAACTTTGAGTTTCCTTTGCTTTTGCTTTTGTTCATCGGTGAGCTCCTTCGTGACCATTTTTGCACACTTTTCTCATGCCAAGATTTTTAGTTGAAATTTTCCTGTTTCTCTATTGATGTTTACTTGGTCTACTATGCTTCTCACGGTCAACTGATGATTTTGATGCACAATTTGACCAATTTTTGCAATGTTTTCATCAGTTGTGCTCATTGCTGGCCACCATGACCTCTCTTCACAATGGCGATGCATTCTCTCCCCTCAGAAAAACGTTTAATCCATTGTACACCACCATTTTCTTCATGGCATTATCCTCATAAACGTGGACTAAGATGTTCCTGACCTCACTCCACTCCTGCCAAGTTTAACAAGAAATTTAATGTTTGTTCATTGCTCTAATTTAAGCTCAGACATTCTCGCAACAGCACACAAAAAATGCAACAATGAACGCCACTCAGCAAGACACCACCACATGTTGACACGAACACAGCTGTGAGACACTGATATACAAAGGTTATGAAACCTTACCCAGCTGTATGGACAGTGCCGCCATTGTAAGCACACAGTGGCAAGTGTGCAGGCATAATTCAGACCTCGTATTACCAGGAAAAGGGGGTAAAAAATTCTGGGAGGCAAAAATGACAAATGTCCAAGCACAGGTTTCTCTCCAGGGTGGACATGCTCATGATCACCTAGCCGGGAAGAAGTCCTAAAGGTTTTTTCATACTGACACACTCACAGGGTTTTTCTCTAGTATGGATTCTTTGGTGCTGAAGATTTTTTTTGCTAGTGAAGAATTTTCCACACTCATCACATACAGAGGAAGACTCCTGAATATGGATCCATAGATGCTTTTTAAATTGCTCCTGAGCACTAAAGGCTTTCCCACAATCTACACAAAGGGTTTCTTCTTGCTGTGGACTCTCTGGTGCTGAGTTAGTTTTGTATGAAAATTGAAGTCTGGTCCACATATATTAAAAGAATAAGGCTTTCCCCCAGTGTGAATATTGGCTAAGATGGCAAGTCTTTCTGAAGCTTTTGCCATATTCATTACATAGGTAAGGTTTTTCTCCATTGTGGATCCTCTGATGCTGATGTAATGTTGACTTAACAGCAAAAGCTTTTCCACACTTATTACACTTGGTTTCTCCCTAGGATAGATTCTCTGATATATCCAACTCATAACTACTGGTGAAGCCATTTCCACACTCCTTGCAGTGATAGGGTCTGTCCCCACTGTGGATTCTCTGATGCCTGATCAGATATGCATTATAATTGAATGCTCTCCCACACACCTCACACTGATAGGGTTTCTCTCCATTGTGGATTCTCTGATGCTGATGTAATGCTGACTTAACAGCAAAAGCTCTTCCACACTCATTACACTTGTAAGGTTTCTCCTCAGTGTGGATTCTCTGATGTTTAACCAAATCAGAACTACTGGTGAAGCCATTTCCACACTCCTTGCAGTGATAGGGTCTGTCCCCACTGTGGATTCTCTGATGTCTGATTAGATGTGCATTATCACTGAAGGCTCTCCCACACACCTCACACTGATGGGGTTTCTCACCATTGTGGATCCTCTGATGCTGATGTAATTTTGACTTAACAGCAAAAGCTTTTCCACACTCATTACACTTGTAAGGTTTCTCCCCAGTGTGGACTCTCTGATGTTTAATCAAATCAGAACTACTTGCGAAGCCATTTCCACACTCCTTGCAGTGATAGGGTCTGTCCCCACTGTGGATTCTCTGGTGCCTGATAAGATTTGCATTATCACTGAAGGCTTTCCCACACACCTCACACTGATGAGGCTTCTCTCCATTGTGAATCCTCTGATGTTGACGTAATGTTGACTTAACAGCAAAAGCTTTTCCACACTCATTACACTTGTAAGGTTTCTCCCCAGTGTGGATTCTCTGATGTTTAACCAAGTCAGAACTACTGGTGAAGCCATTTCCACACTCCTTACAGTGATAGGGTCTGTCCCCGCTATGGATTCTCCGATGTCTGATCAGATTTGCATGATCACTGAAGGCTCTTCCACACACCTCACACTGATGGGGTTTCTCACCATTGTGGATCCTCTGATGTCTGATCAGATATGCATTATCACTGAAGGCTCTCCCACACTCCTCACACTGATGGGGTTTTTCTCCATTGTGGATCCTCTGATGCCTGATCAGATATGCATTATCACGGAAGGCTCTCCCACACACCTCACACTGATGGGGTTTCTCTCCATTGTGGATCCTCTGATGCCTGATCAGATTTGCATGATCACTGAAGGCTCTCCCACATACCTCACACTGATAGGGTTTCTCTCCATTGTGGATCCTCTGATGCTGTCGTAATGTTGACTTAACAGCAAAAGCTTTTCCACACTCATTACACTTGTAAGGTTTCTCTCCAGTGTGGATTCTCTCATGTATAACCAAATCAGAATTACTGGTGAAGCTATTTCCACACTCCTTGCAGTGATAGGGTCTGTCCCCACTGTGGATTCTCTGATGCCTGATCAGATGTGCATTATCACTGAAGGCTCTCCCACACTCCTCACACCGATGGGGTTTCTCTCCATTGTGGATCCTCTGATGCCGAATTAATGAAGAATTGCCAGTAAAGGATTTCCCGCACTCTGCACATGAATAGGATTTCTCTCCATTGTGGATCCTCTGATGCTGACGTAATGTTGACTTAACAGCAAAAGCTTTTCCACACTCATTACACTTGAAAGGTTTCTCCTTAGTGTGGATTCGCTGATGCATAACAAGCTCAGAACTACTGGTGAAGCCACTTCCACACTCCTTGCAGAGATACAGTCTGTCCCCATTGTGGATTCTCTGATGCCTGATCAAATCTGCATTATCATTGAAGGTTCTCCCACACTCCTCACACTGATAGGGTTTCTCTCCATTGTGGATCCTTTGATGCCAAATTAATGAGGAATTGCCAGTAAAGGTTTTTCCACACTCATTACACTCAAAGGGGTTCTCCCCAGTGTGAATTCTCCGGTGTCTAACATAGTAAGGAAAATAGCTGAAGCATTTCCCACACTCCTCACATCTGAAGGGTTTCCTATCACAGAGGATTCTTGGAACCTTTCCTCCATCATTTCTCACTGTGGACATTTCCTGGTGCTTCTTCAGTTTATATGTTTCCAGGAAGCTGGTTCTCTGAAGAACACTCTTCTGCAGACCATGTGACATCACATCTGTGTCTTCAGAAACTCCCTGTGTTGATGTGGACTCATTGTCAATGTTGGCCTCAGTATCTGACATAATAAATAGAAAACACAAGTGCCACCTGAGAATTATACTAGAAACAAAGGAGCATCAAATATTATAGGACTTTTAGAGATTTCTACTTCAACCTCCTCATGGGCCTGCTAGCAAGACATAGCTATTAAAATGAAAGTGCCAAATATCACACAGGCACAGAATAGCTGAGGTAGAACAGGGTATCAGTGACATCATACATCAGATTGCTTCCTAAGCTTTTCCAGACTCTATATTTTTAAACCTTATAGTACTTAGAGGCTTACAAAGTACCAAAGGAAGTACAGGCTCTAAGAGCAAGTGATGACATGGGCTGGCAAGACTCAAAGTCAGAAAGTAAAACTGAAGTGTCAGATTGCAAAGGCAATGAATGAATTGTTTTTTTAAAATTTATACCCTGTAGATGTCTCGAAAGACTGGAGACACTTAGCATTAAGGGCACTAGGCTGTGGCAAGACAGAAAGGAAAAAATCACAGATGCACTTAGAGGACATCAACCCCAGAGGTTCTTAATTGCAGGTCCATAGATGAAGAGTGAACACCCTAAAACTATTGGCAACTGCTGTCTTGTAATCTGCCTCTTAAAAAAGTCTGAACCTCAAACATGCAGAAACTACTCTCCTTGACTCTCTGCCCATTTGGAAAGGGTAGAACCCAGTTTCCTTAGATATATCAAGACTACAGAGTATTCCTTTTCATATTAGCAAAAAGGAGACAAACAGCCACTTATAAAATGGCATGTGTGTTCCTAAAGACTGGATGACATTTTACCTAAGTTAAAGCCCATCTATTTTATATAAAATGTTGGACTAATTTTGTTTTAACATTAATTTGGGTTTTCTGGGATTCGTCTGCTAGTTAATCAAGTTCATCCTTTGAACGTGAGTTACACAAGTGAGGACCTTCAGGAGAACTGAAACTAGGGTAAACAGGTAACCAAGAGTCTCAAAAAGAATGACCAAGACAACTGAGAACCTGGTGGTCTGTTCTCACACCCTGCCTCTTTTTTGCTAGTAGGGTGTTCAGTGTTATAAAATCAGGACTGAGTGATCGATGACCAAAACACTCTTTGTTTTCCCTGCTGCCCCACACTATGCCATTCATCTTGATCACGATCCCCACAGTTCTTCCAAGCAAGCCCCACCTTCCTAGTTCTCCAGTGATTATCACCTCCTCCCTGCTGAAAGAACAAAGCTGCCCAGATGCAGTGCCTTCAACTTCCTTCCCTTCCATTTCCATATCATCTTACCCCAAGCCATGCTCTATGATTTCCAAATCATCCCTGATGCCATCTCCTCCTTTCCCGATATACTGCTCTATCAGCTGTATCATCCCTTTTCTTTTCAATTAAAATTTATTGGGGTGACAATGGTTAATAAAATTACATAGGTTTCAAGTGTACAATTCTGTAATACATCATCTATAGATCACATTGTGTGCTCACCACCCAGAGTCAGTTAGTTCTCTTTCCATCACCATGTATGTGACCCCCTTTATCCTCTTCTACCACCCCAACCCCTTACCCTCTGGTAACCACTAAACTGTTATCTGTGAGTTTTTATTTGTTTATCTTGTTCCTTTGTTGCTTTCAGCTTTATACCCCACATATGAGTGAACTCATATGGTTCTCGACTTTTTTTGTCTGACTTATTTCACTTAGCTTAATAATTTCAAGATCCATCCATGTTGTCACAAATGGCAGTATTTCATCTTTCTTATGGTAGAATAGTATTCCATGGTGTATATACACCACATCTTGTATCGTCCCCGTTCTTCTTGTTCAATCTCCTTGTTTAGATCCTGAAATCCACTTGGGCTTAACGATCGTCCTTTTACATCCAAATTTTCTTATACTAGGTTTTTTAAAAACTGGCTACCCATTAGTTGTGAAGTAATTTTTAAAATAAAATACACTAGTCTGTATTAGGGTAGGGTAGGGTAGGGGAGAATTCACACACATTGTAATGCCAAGGGTAAATTTTGTTCCCTGATACTCTAGTTTCAGAGTACATATGAGTATGCACCGTTTTGATGCAAAATGTAATAACTACTAAGGCTCATAATCAAAAGAGTTTGAAAAACATATGCACTATTTATTATATTTTCTTTCATTTCTAAACTAATCAAAATAAGAGGCTAAAGTGCTGCCTCAATTTTATCATCTCATTTACTCCCTCTCTGCAAACCATCTACTCTGAAACTCCTCCCCTTGGCTTCAGTTTTCACTGTTCCCTCCTGGTGACCCTACTCTACCTGTCTACTTTCTCTTCCCTCTCTCACTAAAATTAAATATCCCTTAGTATGGAAGATTCAGCTCTCCTTTTTATTCTCTAGGGGTCATTTCAACTAAAACCCTGTAGAGTACACTTCATCTCTACTTGTAGACTGACATTTATCTCAAACTCTACACTTGCCTTCTCAATGGCCTGATCAAGCCATGCACTTACATATTCTAAAGATACCTCAGGCTCTGTGCTCAGATCTGAACTCATTTGAATTCAAAAGGCTCTTCTTATGTCATGACTTCCCAATGTTATCTGACTCAGTTCTCCCCTTTATAGCTGAGTTTTGATAAGATCTGATCAATTCTAGCTCCACACTCCTTCCTCTTCCATTTCTGCATTACCACTACTCCCTACTCAATTCACTCACTCAAAAGTTAATGCCTGATATGTAGTAATAGTTTAACAGAAATTTATGTTTTCAATTTCCTTCATGCCAATCAAATCACATACTATGTTGAGTTAGTATTTCTAAAATAGCAATTATGGGCCTATGTCTCTAGTGGCCAGGTCATTGTGGCAGTGGTCACTGCTCCTGCTCCTCATTCTGTTTCGCCTGCTCTCTCATTTCCTGTTCCCATGCTGTAAGTTCTATAGGATAGAGCCCTCAGGTCCACCACAGAGTCGGCATTCTAGATATCCCACACAATGCTGGGTGAGTAAGACACACCAGCCACATTCATCTACACCACTGGCTAAGTAAAGGGGATTAGGATATACTGCATACTCTGCCAGCTCCAGATTCTAGGAAGTCTTGCCTGGCTTTGAGTCCTAAGCCTCATACTCTTGCACTGCTTAGTAGAAAAGACAGAATACTTGCAAGTGGGCTCCAGAAAAAAATATCCATTTTTAAATATGCTCAAGTAATTCTCTTGCACATGAAATTGCAAAGTTCTTCACAATGATTTACTGGATCCTCTATTCTCTTCCTCAGGCCAGATAATCTACCTTCTTTTTCTCCATGTGATATCCATTGTAATCTGTCAAATTTGGGACAGAGGGCCTGCCCCTAAACGACTGTTACTTGAGCTTCTCAATGGGAATTCTTCTAACCTCTGCTTCTGCTGTGCACTTACAGCCCAGTGCATATATATCAACAGCAGCACTTAACACATTTTTTTTTAAGCTCTTTACATCTGTCTCCATAACTTGTATCCTCCAGAGCTTCTTAAATAAAACTTCACACACAGTAAGTGCTGAAAACTGTTCCTGAATGAATCAATTATGTTCAAAGATGGACAGTCACTGAGATACATAACGCTCAAAGGAAACTCAAAATGGAACAATGGATTCAAGAATTGCGTATGAGATGTATAAAGTGGAAATAAGTTATCTTGATAAGAATTAAAACGGGTGGAAAAAGTTTCATATTTTACCTATTAGGAGAAATCATCTATTTTATTTAAATTCTTCCCAGCATGGTTCATTTAAAAATACACTGCTTTGTAAAGCCCTACAGTTACCAGTTACCTGCCTCACTAACCTTTATAGATGAGTGTGGTCCTCTCTGCAGGTGGCTCATCCTGTGCCTCCAGGCTCCAAGGCAAATCCCCTCTCTCCAGAAGTGAGATCAGGGCAGGTCTGAGAACTGGGTATCCTAGAAAGGGGGTGAGAAAATGGCACCTTTCAGCCTTGTGTCTGCTGTGTAAAAAGAAGGAAAACCCCAACATCTCAGTAAGAATAAGATCCTCAGATCCAAAGAGGGCTTAGGACTTTGGAAAGCCAAGGAGATTTTGATCAAGAAGAAACTAAGGGAATTCCAGTCAAGATGGCGGAGTAGGTAAACGCTGTGCTTGCCTTCTCTCATGGCCACATCGAAATTACAACTGACGCTCAATAGTGCGAGCTCTGAGCAACAGTGGTTCGAGTTCCGGCCCGAGCTGAGCTGCCACTGAGCTACCAACATGGTATGGTGTCAGATGGATACTAGATCTATTGTGGTAATAGATGGGAGGGGGGTTAGAAGCAGGGTGACAAATGTGAAGGGATTAAGAAATACAAATTGTTGTTCCGGCCGAGTGGCTCAGTTGGTTAAGAGCTCACTCAAGAGTGTGAGCTCTGAGCAACAGCAGTTCGAGTCCCGGCCTGAGCTGAGCTGCCACTGAGCTGCCAATAGTTGGCAGGATGGCTCAGCTAAAATAAATAAATAAAGAAGGAAATACAAATTGTTGTTATGAAATAGTCATGGGGATGTAAAGCAAAGCATATGGAACATAATCAATAATATGGTAATAACAATGTATAGTGCCAGGTGGGTACTAGTCAGGGGAATCACTTTGTAAATTATGTAAATGTCTAGTCACTATGCTCTATGCCTGGAATTAATATAAAATAATATTGAATGTCAAAAAAGAAGAAGGGGAAGGAGAAGGCGGAGGAGGAGGATCTGAGCATTTGTAACCTCTTCCTACTTAAGAGTAGGTAAGTTAATGAGACCCTGCAAGACATGTACAAACATAGGGAAGGGGTCACACCCTTCCCTAGACAATGGGGGGATGGCAACAAGCTGAGAACTTGGCTCTGGCAACAGAAACTACTTATTCCTTACTGTCCAGAGCCCCTAGGAGGATGGGATGTACTCTTATTAGGGGACAGCAATTCCCTACATTGGGACCAAATGACCCAAGGCCTCTCCCTACCCAGCAACCTCTGAGTGGGTCATTTGGCCTTAGCCCTGGAGCCATGCAGTAAAGGATACCAGAGACAACACCTCCCTCTCCACACTGCACCCCTGGCCCATAAAGAAAAAAGAAGGAAGTAGGAAAGCATAGATCTGAGTCCGAGGAGGAAAGTGACCTTACCCAGTGATGTCAAGTTCCCATAGGTCTCCAGCATCACACTTCTGTATAGGGCCCTCTGTGTGGAAGAAAGGATAGCCCATTCTGCCTGGGTTAAATACACAGCCACGTCTTCAAAGGTCACCACCTCCTAAAACAAGAGGTTCCTGTTGACCCAGAGCCAATTCTCTGACTCAGGGTCAAAGTGTGGGATACACTGGACAGTATGAGGGAGGGGTCCAATTAGGAATGGCTAATGAGAAAAGGTGAAAGAACTGGGTGTTAGACTATTAAATGACTATTCTACAACCCAATATATGGAACTTCTCTCACTACCAAAAGAATTTCCATTTGGACATAAAATTTACTGTTATAAAACATGATAAAAACATATAAAAAACTCTGTAGAGTCTCTCATTAACCTTCCTAGAGCAAAATCTCTTTGATTTTGTAAATACGCTCAGTCTTTCAGTATTATACCTACAAGTAGACAACTAGCTTCAATATGTCCAGATGCCCATTCACAAGAGGCATCTCAGGACCTACTTGTTGCCCCTTCACTGCCCCAGTGCTCAGTCAGTCCCCAACATGTTCCCAAACATGTGTTCACTCTGCCCCAAACTTCACCTGGTGCCAGTCTTTCAAAGGCATGGCTGCCATCACCTGGGATTCCTCTCAGTGAAGGGCAGTGGCTGAGGGAAGAAGCAAAGAGTCAGTGAGTCTGGCTCAGTCAAAGGCTTTTCTTTAACCAACATACCTGCCAATGATAATAGCAACAATCATTTACTAAACGCCCATTGAGTAAGTGGTATATAAATATTTCCTCTTTTAATCCATACCATAACATGAAGTTTGAATTCTAAGTACACAGATTCAGAAAGGGTAAGTAACTTGCCCTTGGGCAGCAGAGCCTATAATCCCCACCATCAATGCTGCCTATCCTAGGTAGGACATCAGTACAGGGGGAACATGACGGAAGAGCAAAACAAGCAAAAGACACCAACAACCTAGAAGCAAAATCTAACAAGAGGAAACCCATTCATTTTTTGGGAAACATAAAAGGTTAAAAAAAAGAGAAAGAAACATGTTTTTGGATGAAAAATACATATCTTCTCATCCAGTCACCACAATAAGCCTATACACCTTTTCTTTTTCCCAGCTGAGAAAACAAGGCTGAGAGAATAATTTTCTCTAACAAGGTCACTCAGTTGGTGTATGGATGAACTTGGATCCCAAATCAAATCTGCCAGATTCCAAAGGCTATGCTTTTTGTTTTGTTTTTAATTTTTAAGTTACAGTTGACATACAATATCATATTATTGGGCTGTAGGAAAAGTCATGACTTATTTTTCCTGTTTTTCGTTGCAAAAATGCGTCATGACTTTTCCGACAACCCAATAGTTTCAGATGTACAACATAGTGATTAGACATTTATAGAGGGTGCCAAAAAAAGTATATATATTTTAAGGAAAAAACTGTATTAAAATTGTAACAATATATACTAATAACAAAAGATGAATATAAGTCATGTTTGACTCCTGCAATTACAAGAGGTGTTCAAACTGGTTATCATCAGCACAATTTTAATACAGTTTTTTCCTTTCTTAAAATGTGTATACATTTTTTGGGCACCTTCTGTACTACTCACGAAGTGATCACCCCATAAGTCTAGTATTCATCTGACACCATACAGAGTTATTACAATATTTACTATATTCCCTATGCTGTACTTTACATTCACATGACTGTACAATTCCAAGTCATGCTTTTAATAACTACATTAAATTGCTTATAATCATAATTCAACAGGATTTCTCTTAGAACCCGATAAAGTGATTCTAAGGTTAATATGGAAAAATAGATAAGAGTAGCCAAGAAAATTCAGAAAAAGAATCTCAGAGTAAGTCTTCCTTTTCCTGGACATTGAGGCAGGCATCTTTTTTGTTCATCATTCCATTCTAGGACCCAGTGATAACCACAAAGGACCCTGAAAGGCCACCTCAAAATGCCAAAATGTCTGGGCTATTACTTTTATTATATCATTCCTTACTGGCACTTTGTATTCTTTTTTTTTTTTTAAGATTTTTTTTATTGGGGAATTGTGGGGATGGGAACAGTGCTGGGGAATTGGGGAAGGGGAACAGACAAGTTGCTGTCGTTTTGTTCTTCAGTATAGCTGTGGAGGACATTGCTTCACTGGCCCAAGTTGGCACCATCATTGCGCTCTTCCTGGGCAAGGCAGATCAGTCGCCAGCTTCTGGACGGCCGCTCACTGCGGCTGCTGGCCGCTCACGCTGGCTGTTGGCCACACACAGTAGCCCATGGCAACCCACTGCAACAGGGGCTGCAGCCTACGCCATCTCAGGCGACTCACGGCAGCCCAGCTCCAGGTTGAGCTGTTGTTCAGCATCTTAGCTGTAGAGGGCAGTGTCACTGGCCCTCATATGTGGGATCCGAACCGGGGACCTCTGGCGTCCCAAGCCAGCTCTTAACCAACGCGCCACTCGGCTGGCCCGGCACTTTGTATTCTTAAGCAGTCACACGCTACCAATAACCCAGCATCTTCCTTACAACGACTCATTGCATGCTATAATTCCTGCTAGCTTATCTTGTGGTACCCTTCTCCTTAGTTTAGCCATTCTGGCTTTTTTTTTTTTTTTTACTATTCTAATTCAGGACCTGTGTACCTGCTACTGCCTCTGTATAAATCAGTCTTCTCCAACCTTAGAACCTTTGTAAGTGATCCTCTCCGTCTGAAATACACTAGAGCATCCTGACTGCCCTTCACCTAGGTAATGCCAACTCATCCTTCAAATAATCCTCTACAGACCAGGTCAGGTCCCCATGTTACACACTGCACTTCCCTTTCCTGTATATGTCTCCCAGTTTGAGATTATATATTGATTTGTGCTTTCTTCATTCAATAAACATTTATCGTATACTTATTTCATCTCAGGCCAAGTGTGAGATACAATGAGAGAGAAAAAAAGGTGTGATCCATCTTGTCATTGAGCTTGGCCTAAAGACACACATTAATCAAAGATTCTCATAAATAACTTTTAAGATCACAATTGTGACTAGTGCCAGGGAAATTCTATCCTAGATTTTATAGGAATTAACTAGATTAAAAGGAAAATCTTTACAAAAGTGACAACAAGTGCAAAATCACGTTCTAGAAATGACAGGCCAAAAAGACTAGCAGGACCAAGGGGAATGTGCTGCAAAACGAGAGTGAAGTTGCAAGAGACCAAACAAAGCGCGCAGGGCCTTGCTCACGTTTATTTGGTCTTAGACCTAAAAACAACAGGCCAGAGCATTTTCTCACTCTGTTGAGATTTTGCTTCCCGGCAATTGTCAGTTTGGCTCAAATAGTCTTAGAAGCTTTAAAAAATAACTAAATAAAAGCAACAGACCACACATGCCCAGTTACGAGCTAGTTGGGGTGAAATGATCCGATTTGATTAATATGTAACTTTCCCATTAAATGGAAAGATCCCGGAAGTCGGGACCCACATCCCGACTCATTCATAGCTGCACCCCGGAAACTGAAAACAGCGACTGGCATTTAGCTGCTCAGTAAGCAGTTGTTGGCACAATGAGCAGTAGGGCTTTTTGGCTGTGTCGTCTCCTTTCCATCCACAGCCTCCATTTTCCAAAGTGGCCGCCTGATATGGGGCGAACGAAGGCACCCGAGGGCGGGCGGGACTGGCCCGCAGACCGCCCCCAACTCCCTCCACCGCGGCAGCAAGGACTAAGGCGACAGCCTTCCCTATGGATGAGGAACGCGCTCCCAACAGAGACCCCAAGACTACAAACTTCAACACTCACCTCAGGGAAGAAGCCGTGTGTGGCGTGACCGGATGTGCGTCAAAGGCCACGTCGCCCAAGCCTCACGTGCTTCCTCTCTAGGATGCCAGAGCGCGCCGCTCAGTGGTTCTTAGTCTTTACTTCCGGCGCGGTGCTTTTTAACCTGGGATCCTCAGAGATCTTCAATAGGAGAGAAAGTTTATCATTGTTTTCGCTAATCTCTAACCGAAATTTAGCGTTTCCTTTAATTATGTGTTGGCAACAAACTACAGTAGCATCAGCAGTACCTGTAACTTTATCACCAATAGGAATCGCGGATATTTTCATGTCAGATTACACACAGTTGATGCAGATAATCTCAAAATATGGGCTATTTTCATCACTAATTCAAAATTATAATCGTTATTAGGCTCACCTTTAGCTATTTTCACTTCATCACATTGGTAAAGATGCACATATTGGATGTGATAAAAATACAAATGTTTAAATTTAAAAAAAAATATAGTAAAAGACACATAGCTATTAATCCCCCTCAAAATACTCCCCCTCTCTTTAAACACACTTATCCCATGTTCTTACCACTTTCTGAAGCAGTTCTAGAAATCCTCTTTCATGAGTGTCTTTAGTTGTGCTGTCATGGCTACTTCCACGTCCTGAATCTTTTCACATTCTGACTCTTCACGTTTTCCTTTCATGGTCATTTTGACTTTGGGGAAGAGCCAGAAGTCCCATGGTGCCAGTTCCGGTGAATAAAGTGGATGAGGACACACCATCATGTTTTTATTTGACAGAAATTGATGTACCAGAAACGATGTGTGACACAGAATGTTGTCATGATGGAGGACTTCCAGAACTGCTTCAGAAAGTGGCAAGAATGATGGCATAAGTGTGTTTGAAGAGAAAGGTAGTATTTAGAGGGGGATTAATGGCAATGTGTCTTTTACTGTAATAATTTTTTAAAATTTAAAACATGTACCATATTTTTTATCACACCTCGTATATTAATGTACTACAAATTTATTTTTTAAACTATCTGTATTTTAATATAATTGATTTTGGAGGTGTGCACAGGTGTGCTTACACTGCAAAAGAGGTCGTTGGACAAAAATAGCTGTCTTGCTTAGAGGTAAAGATTCAGTCACATTAAGAAAGATCAGGATTGAGAAGGGATACATTAAATAACTACTTAGGAAGTGAAAACAGTGGACATTAAAAAAAATGAATAAGAGTTATGAGAGGGAGCAATCTATGATAGCTGTATACGAGTAGGGTGGATGCCCTGATAGATGAAGGTGTCATTAACTGAGATGAGAGATTTAGGAAGAGGAGTCGGTTTTAGGCAGGAAGATACAGAATTCAGTTTTAGAACTACTGAATACACACACACACACACACACACACACACACACACTCACTCACTCACTCACTCACACACACCTGCTTTATTAAAATATAATTCACATCCCATACAATTCAAACATTTAAAGTGCACAATTTGGTAGTTGTAGGCATATTCACAGAACTGTGCAACCATTACCACAATCAATTTTAGAACACTTCCATCATTCCAAAAAGAAACCCATAACCATCAGCACTCTCTCCCCATTTTCCTTGTGATAGGCAGAATAATGTTCCCCTCAAAGATGTCTATGTCCTAATCCTTGGAACCTGTGAGTATCTTAGGTTACATGACAAAAGAGGAATTGAGGTTGGGGATGGAATTAAGGCTGCTAATCAGCTGATATTAAAATAGCAGATTTTCCCGGATTATCCAGGTGGGCCCAATGTAATCATAAGGGTCCTTAAAAGTGGAGGAGGTTAATTGGAAGAGAAAATGGAAGAGAAGGCAGCATGGGAGAAGCTTGTCCCAATACTGCTGGTTTTGAAGCTGGAAAAAGGAACCCACGTACCAAGAAAAGTGGGTGGCCTTCTAGAAGCTGGAAAAGGCAAGGAAACAGATTCTGTCTTTAGCCAACACTTTGCATTTGGCCTAGTGAAACCCATTTTGGACTTATAACCTCTAGAACTGTAAGATAATAAGTTTGTGTTGTTTTAAGCCACTGTTTGTGGTAATTGATTAGAGCAGCAACAAAAAAATCAATGCATTCACTCCCCCAATTCAGGCCTTCCTCCAATCCTAGACAACTAATCTATTTTCTGACTCTATAGACTTGCCTAGCCTGGACATTTACATCATACAAATGTCCACTGAATCTGAACATGAAACAAAAAAATTAGTTTTTCTGTTGGTAATTTTATTAGTCTTTAGAATGATGGAAACCTATCTATTTAGTAGCAAGACTTGGGTAGAGCTTGATTTTTTTGTTTTTTTGCTGAGGGGAGATGATGGTGTACCTTTTAATCTGCAAACTCTCAACAAAAAACATAGATTACCCTGGTGAAAGAAATATTTCAATTATCCCTGGTGAATGGCCACTTCAAGCAGAGAAGCAGTGTGATTTGAGTTGTACTTTAAGTTTTAGACAAACTATATGCTGCACTGCCCTTCAACACTGGCCATAGTCAACATTAGCAAGACGCCTCCTAGCAAGGGTTGAATTTAAGTGCCCTGTTTCTCCATGATATTTTATTGATTTTTATGCAAGTCTTTTTCTTCTTCAAATCATTTAGAAATTATATCTAGATTACTGTAGCAGGTGAATGGCAGGTGAATATTAGTGTAGCAGATAATTTGTGGGGAGAATTCGGAGCTAAATAGCATTGTTTATATCTGCATAGTCACATTTTTTATGAATCAGAGTACATATTGCTCTGTTTTTGGTTTTTTTGTTTGTTTTTTTAAAGATTTTATTGGGGAATTGGGGGAGGGGAACAGACAAGTTGCTGTTGTTTTTGTTCTTCAGTCTAGTTGTGGAGGACGTTGCTTCACTGGCCCAAGCTGGCACCATCACTGCACTCTTCCCGGGCGAGGAAGATCAGTCGCTGGCTTCTGGACGGCCGCTCACTGCGGCTGCTGGCCGCTCACGCTGGCTGCCGGCTACACCTGGTAGCTTATGGCAGCCCACTGCAGCAGGGGCTGCAGCCTATGCCATCGCTGGCGACTCACAGCAGCCCAGCTCCAGGTTGAGCTGTTGTTCAGCATCTTAGCTGTTGGCACAATGAGCAGAAGGGCTTTTTGGCTGTGTCGTCTCCTTTCCATCCACAGCCTCCATTTT